TTACGAAGTCACAGGGCCACGGGTTCAAGGACAGGGAAATAGGCCTTGCCTGCCAATGGGGTGAAGCATGAAGAATTTGCAGCCGTCTTTAACCTACCGCTGTGCTCAACTCAGTAAATGATTGTTGAATACGGAACTGAATTTCAGAGACTTGCCTCAAGTAGGGAATTACCTGCCGGTAGGGCTTGGGGAGATGTGAGTGGAGAGATCTTGTCCCTCTTAGCCCTGTCCCTCTGTGGCACCTTGCACAGTCCCTCTGGGCCTGAATATCTCCAAAGCCACATGTGATTGGTTTGTGCTTCCAGAGCCCTACAGGAAGGTCCACCCAAGGTCTGTCAGGAGGCCAGGGTACTGGGACCCTTATTCTCCCCCCTCCCCTCAATTCCATGCCTGGGGCTCCCAAGCACTCTGTTCCCGGCCATCCTGAGCCAGGATGATCTTCAGTCGGCACTTGGGTCCCACGGAGCCTCAGGCCTGCCCTCCTGTCCTTCCAGGCTCATAACATGTCTGGGAGCAGCCACACCTGCTGGCCAGTGTTGTCTCAGCCCCACCTGCCTTTTCTTCCTCTTGTCCCCTCTCTGTGGCTCCAGCAGAGCCACCATCCCTCTCATCATCTAACTGACAAGGGGCACCAGTGAGTGAAGCCACAAAGACAGACCAGCCTTTCCCGTTTGGGGTCACAGCAGCCTCACAGAGACGCGCTCTCTCCTGTTACAGCTCCCCGGGCAGCCCTGCTGGCTTGGCATTTTGGCAGATGGCTTCCTTTGGGAATGGGCTGTGGCACCTGCTCCTTTACTAGGAATGTGTTGGGTCCCCTGTTTCCCGGAAACCTTCTGAGGACTCGCAGTTCTTTGTTTGCTCGCTCTTTCAAACCCCATTCATTCTGTAAGGAAGGATGACGTACCTGCCTGCCTGCGCTGGGCTCCGGGCTGCACATGAGATGATGGCCAGCAGCAGACCTGGTCCCTGCCTTCCAGGGCTCGTTCGTTAGTGGAGAGACAGCCCTGCAGCAGTCACATCGATGAACCCACAACAGTCTGCAGTGCGCTGGGTAGGGTTCCAGACTGGCAGAGACACTGCTCAGAGCTATGAAAGAGTTAACTGGGCAAAAGTGGGGAGAAGGAAGGACATTTCAGAAGGGGGAGCTGACCTACCACTCTAATCCCTTGGTGCCCTCCTGGGGCTGCACCCTGAACCCAGCACCCCTATAGCAAGCACTTCCTTCTAATAGCCACATTTTCCCGCTCCTCCCTCAGGGGTGTCCTTTAAGGCCACATTCTCAAAGAATCTCTCCTTGTCTGCCTAGTCTACAGTGTTAGCTCCCACCTCCCATAGCCTCCTACTCTGTAATTTTTCCTCCTCTGGACTCAGAGTCTAATGTCCATGCAGGACAAGGGGTTTTCATGACTCATTCAGTTGCTGTATTCTCAGGGCCTAGAACTGTGCCTGGCACATGGTAGGCAGCCAGTCAACACTGGAACTCTTGTTGAGTCATGCACAGGAAGTTGCTCTCCAAACCGTTCATCCCTGAGTGGAGAGGAGGGGCGGAATTGCACTAATCACTTGGCTCCTACTTGCTCTGCAGACCAAGGGGTCTTGGGCTGAGAAGGGAGGGCTTTGGGAGATAGGTATCAGGGGCCTAACTCCTCCTCCTCCTCTCCTCCTTCTTCTTCTTCCTCCTCCTCCTTCTTATTCCTCCTCCTCCTCTTTTTTCCTTCCTCCTCTTCTTCCTTCTCCTTCTCCTCCTCCTTCTCCTTCTCCTCCTCCTCCTCTTCCTCTTCTTCCTTCTCCTCCTCCTCCTCCTCCTCCTCCTCCTCCTCCTCCTCCTCCTTCTTCTTCTTCTTCTTCTTCTTCTCTCTCTCTCTCTCTCTCTCTCTCTCTCTCTCTCTCTCTCTCTCTCTTCTATCTCTATCTCTATCTCTATCCCTCCCTCCCCTCCCTCCCTCCTTCCCTCCCTCTCCAGATCCACACTTAGGAATCCCCACCTCCAGCACCTGCCTTTTCCCAAAGCTCCAGGTATTGTGATCACAGGCAGATGTGGAGCCACTGCTTTGGCTTGGTCTCCCATGTCTGTGGCAGGCAGAGTGGTTAGAGGCAATGCTGCAGCTGCTTCCAGGTGGGTGGTGCAAGATGGGGCCCCTGAGCTTGGCTCTCCTCCCAGAGCTCAGGGGTCCCCACCATCAACTTCCTACCACCCTCACTCAGAAACCAAGGCCAAGTTCCTCAGGGGATGGGGCACCTCACCTGGCTTCCAGGAACACAGTGTCCAAGTGGGCTCTCTCTCTCTTAAATATATTTTTATTGATTTCAGAGAAGGGAGAGGGGAAAAGAGAAACATCAACCAGGGCATTTACCCTGACCAGGAATTGAACCATGACCCCCTGATTTATATCGATGCTCAACCACTGATCAACCATTGAACCACTGGCTGGGCGCTCGCTCTCGCTCTTTCTCTCTCTCTCTCTCTCTCTCTCTCTCTCTCTCTCTCTCTCTCTCTTTCTCTGTTACACAAAACCCTTTATATTTCAGAAAATTTCAAATACATATACAAATATAGTATAACTAGAGGCCTGGTGCATGAAATTCGTGCATGGGGAGGTGTTCCTCAGTCCGCCTGCACCCCTGCATCTTCTCCAATATGGGGCTGCTGGCTCCTAACCATTTGCCTGCTTGCCTGATTGATGCCTTAACTGCTCCCCTGCCAGCATGATCATCCCCAACTGCTCTCCCCTGCGGAGCTGAGGGGACTGGAGGACTCCAGCTGGGTGAGGCGGTGGGGCTGAGAGACTAGAGGATTGAGGCTGGATGCTGTGGGGACTGGGTGAGGTAGGGCTGAGGGATGGGGGTTGGGAGTGGGGAGTTAGCCCAACCCTAACCTGTTGGAGGACACAGGGTGATGGGGAGGGGAGGGGCCACTAATGAGAGTAAGCCCAGGAGAATTCCATTCTTCAACTGCATGGGATTGATACCTGGACGGGCGAGTCTGAAGGGACTGGGAGACTGAGGCTGGATGAGGCTGGGCTGAAGGGACTGGGGGAACTCTGTGGCACCTGCTCCTTTACTTGGAATGTGTTGGGTCCCCTGTTTCCCGGAAACCTGAGGACGTGCAGTTCTTGGTTCGCTCGTTCAAACCTCATTAGTCAACAGAGCCAAATACCAACAGTACAACGACTGAAATTTCTTTGGAGAGTCGAATTTTTTAAACTTAAACTTCTTCTAACGCCACTTCTTCAAAATAGATTCGCCTGAGCCATGGAATTTTGTGGAAGAACCACACCCGAGGGGCCAAAGAGCCGCATGTGGCTCTCCAGCAGCAGTTTTCCGACCACGGAACTAGGGCAAATTGGATTCTTCCCATTCCTATGTCAATCCCATACAGTCGACGAATGGAATTCTTCTGGGCCTACTCTCATTAGTGGCCTCTCCTCTCCCCATCACCCTGTGTCCTCCAACAGGTTAGGGTTGGGCTAACTCCCCCCTCCCCATCCCCACCCCTGTGACAGGTGGCTCCTCCTTGGCTTGAACAGGAGAGCCCAGGAGCAGTCAAAATGCACCACTAACAGCCGGGGCCCCCAAGGCCCCTCCTGGTATCCTGTTCACTGTGGTACCCGTTGGGTGGCCAGGGCAGAGCAGATACAAGTGTCTGTAGAAATGAACGAATCCCCATTTCTTCTTGTGGAAACCAGGGCCCAGAGACAAGCCGGTCTCACAACCAGCACCCAGCATTAGGCCTGCTCACAGCTTCTCAGAAAAGTCCTCCTCCACCTTCTGGAACAAGAATGTGAGCAGTTGTGCCCGCTATTTGGGCTTCCCCGCCCCTTTGCTGCCATCATTAGAGGAGACAAAAGGACACAGGCCCCTTGGCAGCTGGTGGAAGGGACATCAGCCCCTAACCCTGCCCCCTTCTGTCCTGAATGGGGAGGACATTTCCTGCCTGTCACTCCGGACTTAATAGGGTCCGGGAAGCCAAGATATTGAAACACCTTTAGGAATGACTCAAGGGGAGCACACACAGCTCAGATACCAACTCCACTTCTGCGACTCGTTTCTTTCCTGCATCCACCAAAGAAGTGTCGCTGTCCTGCTCTGTGGCTCAATCTCCCTCCTGACCCTCCAGAAGGACACAGAGCCTGCGGTGTGGGAACTGGCAGGAAGAACAGTGGCAGGGGACCTCTTTTGTTCCTCCTGGCAAGCTGGGTATGTGCCTGCAGAGGCCTCCTCATGGTAGGAGTTTCCTAAAAAAAAAAAACCATATGGATGAAAGCGGCCTGGGAATTACTCCCAGCTGGGAATCACCAAAACCCCGGAGCCCGCTGAGCGGCAGGGAGGCAACTCCTGACACCCCCTCTTGGGCCCACGCCCAGAAGTGGGGTGCAAAGCACATGCAGCAGCGAGCCAATGGGCCAGACCCTAACGGGGTGACCCTCCCTTTGATCACTGGAGCCATCTGAAGCCCCACAGCTCCAGCGCCAAGATAGAGGTGGGAAGGGGAGCACACTGCTTATGTGACCCCAGGGCGCAGCGCAGGGGTGCGGGGAGATGGGGAGCCCCTCACTTCTCTTCCCTCTCCGCAGCCAGGCGGTGGGGCCCCCTCAGGCACGACCACCGGTAGGGTGGAAGGTAGCACCCTTTTCACCACCCCGGACTGGGGTGCACAGCTCAGACAGCGTGGCCCCCAGAGTAGGGGAGGGGCGCGCTGTGGGGAGCCCCTTAGCACCGCCGCCCAAGCTCTCCCTGGCTTCCCTTCGGGCAGGGCCGGGGGAAACTGAGGCGGTCCAGGGAGTCCGGGATGTCAGAGGCGCGGGAGGGGCGTCCCAGGCTCTCCTCTCCCGCCGTGGGCAGGAGCGGGGGAGGCGGGCGGGTCCTGCTCCGCCCCGCGCCGCCCCAGCTCCCGGCCAGTGCGATCCGGCGCCCGCGGGCAGGGCGGGGCTGCAGGCGGCACCGCCCCGAGGGGCCGGCCGGGGCGGAACGGCCCCCCAGCGCCCTCCCGGGCCCGGGCCATGACCCCCGCGGCTCTCTCCTGCAGGCTCGCTGCCGCGACCACCCGAGTCCGGAGGGGCCCCGCGCGCCCCGCGTGCGGCTCCGCAGTGAGCCCCCCGACAAGCGGTAAGCGCCCCGCCGTGCGCGCCCCGGGTCCGGCCCGCGCTGCCCCCCTCCCCCGCCCCCTTCCACCCTCCACTGCTCTTCCCGGTGCCCCAACCCCGTGGGGCGGCGTACACGCTCCGCAAGCTGGGGGTGGGGAATGGGGTGGGGCGCCTCGGGAAGGGTGCGGGCGCCCCTCGTGGGCCCCGGAGTCCCCCTAACTTCTAGCAGACTTTCCCGCGGAGGAGCGGTTTTGGGGAAAGTTGGGCCCCCTCTGGCCGTGTTGCAACTCACAGCAGCCGGAGGCGGGGGTGTGTCCCTGCGCGCCGAGCCTCCGGCCCCCGCTCTTCACCTGACCCTCCGCGCCGTCACGAGCTCCTGGGGAAGGGACCAGGCCGCCGTCCTTCCTCAAAGCTGGAGAGGAGCCCGGCTGGGGTGGGGGCGGGAGGCCTCGAGAGGAACCATTTCCCCTCTATCGAGTATTTCAAACTGTATTATTTATGAGCCGCCTCACTTAGGGGCCCCCCTCGCTTCCAGGGCTTCAAAGCGGGTTGCAACCGCAAAGGGCGACCGGTGCGAACGCCCCAGCAGCGACTTCGGGCCCACGGAGCCCAGCGGACCTGGGGGAGGCGCTCTTGGCAAGGGGGGGGGACCCACCGCTCTGCTCGCTGGCGCTGGGGTAGTGAGTGGGGACTTCTCTCAGGCTGCCCCTGCCTGGCTGTTAGGCCTGGTGGAATGGAGAGAGCAGTCTGAGCAGCCCTGCGCCACTGAGAAAGAGGAGTCGGAAGGCAGCTCTGGGGCGGGGGCTGGGGGTGGACAGGGAGGGTGGTTCTCTCCTAAAAGGGGCATAGGCCTATGGCAGCCTTGGTGTGGAATCACTCACTCTGTCCTGGATGTAGGTTATTCAACAAACGCAGATTGGTACCCCCGTCATCCCCTCTCCCTCCCCCCCCCACCCCAAGGCAATTAGGAGACAGCAGCCTTGGTGGGAAACACCCCATCTCACAGGGAGGCACACCTTCCCGGCCCGGCTCCCAGGAGTGCCTGGGGGGCCCTGTGTGCAGCTGGATTAACTCAAGGAAACACCCCCTTACCTGTCCAGGCCACACCCAGCTTGGATTCCGCGTCTCTACCCCTGGGTACTGTTTCTTCTCGATGGGAGGGAGGCAGTGTATTTATGGAAAGATTTAATCCCTCTGCCAGCTCCAAGGAGGCTGAAAGCTCTGATGCCTAATCTCTGCTCCCTGGAAACCCTTCTCTTGCTGGTGGGGGTCCTTGAGCCCCCCGCGTAGATCAACACTGGAGACTTGACATGGGGACTCCCCTACGTGGACAATAGAACACTATTGGTTATTGAGAACCTGCCGTGTCCCGGGCCTTGCACTGAGTGCTGGTGCCATCACCTGCGTGCTCTCTTTTCACCCTCTGACCAAATAGTTGTATTCCCATTTTACAGAGGAGGACACTGAGGCTGGTAAGGGTAAAATGGCGTAAGGTCACAGGTGGGTAAGTGGCAAACCCAGGCCTTGAGCCCCTAGACCTCACATTGAGTTGCTCTTGAATAATAGCAGAGGCCAGGCCAGGCCTCTGAGACCACAAGTATACCCCCCACCCCCATTCAAAGGTTGAGGTCAGTAGAATATACATGCAGTAATAGGTACACATCAGACGTGTACATCCAGATCAAGAGACAGAATTTCCCCAAGAACCTCCTCTTGCCCCTGGCAGCCCCATCTCCCCTTGGAGCCAGTGGGTGGCTCTGTGTCTCCCACAGGCAGTGCCACATCGTAGTTACTTTTTATTTGGTGCAAAGAACACATTAGTTTACTTTAATCTTTGCACTGAAAACCCCCACGGGGAGTGAGCTGGCAAGCACTCAGGGCCCGTGGGCTGCAGTGTGTGACTTCTGTCTTCAAGGCTGCTATAAAAACAATTACATGCTTTTAAATGAGCCCGGTGGTTAATTAATCATTAACCTGGCTTCTAATAACGTACTCCTGATTTTTAAATGAACATTTCTATTGGCATAGAACGCGGAAAGGTGCACAAATCACCAGCATTGAGCTTGGCCATGTGGAGGCTTCCAGGAGCAGTGGGCAAGCACTTTGCTCCAAGTTACTTGGCCAATCGGTGGGAGGCCCAGGCGGGACCCCAGCTGGCCCACGACCCTGCCTGGTGACAGAAGTAGCTGAGTGTTTCAGGGGGCACCCTGCCCCTACCCTTACCCCCATCCTTTTTCACTTCCTGTTGGTGAGTCCCTGTGGGCATGCAGCCGCCCAGCCTCCCCAAGAGGAGCCCACCGCCTCCTGCAGGTCCGTCCATGCGCTGAAGCCAGGAAGATGCTCATGTTTGCTCTCTGTGTACCAGGATGGAAGGCATGTTAACGCTTGTAGCATCTGTTCCCAGCGCAGTCCCTTTGGCTGGAATTACAGGAATTCTAATCCTGTAGCAAAAAAGAGAATGCCTTTTCTAAAGAAGGAAGGGCACCAAGATGTGCCATGTGCCTACTTGGGAGCCGGGCATGGCCCCTTAGTGCCTCCTTCCTCGTGTTTGCCGTGAGGAAATGCTCGGAGAGCTTGCCCAGAGCCTCCCAGTAGGGAGTGGAACCTGGTTCCATCCTGTCTGGTGGGTCCACCCACCTAGGCAAACACTCACATTCCTCAGCTGTGATTCTTCACCCCTGCCCTTGGTCCTCAAGCGAGGTCTTTGTTGAGGAGGTAAGGTAAGGCACCGTGGTGAGTCATGACCTCCAAAGGGGTATTCTGATTTCATCTGGGAGGTGGCTGTGCAAGACCAAGAAAGGTCAGGCTTCTAGCCCGGCCCTGCCTTTCACTCACTTTCTCTCTCCTGCCCTCCATGGCCTCATCTGAGAAACCGAGGTATTAGCAATAAGGCAGACTCTGAATACGGTTGCCAGATTTAGCAAATAAAAATATACGGTGTATGTCCTGGTTGGAGTGGCTCAGTTGGTGGGAGTGTCATCCCATTCACTGGAGGGTCACTGGTTCAATTCCTGGACAGGGCACATATCCAGGTTGCAGGTTCAATCCCTAGTGGGGGGCACCTATCTAGGTTTCAAGTTCCATCTCCGGACAGAGTGTATCCTGAAGGCAACTGATGGATGCTTCTCTCTTTCCTTTCCTCTCTCTAAAATCAGTTTTTTAAAAATAGAAAAAAACATATCCTCAGGTGAAGATTTAAAAAAATATATAAAAAAAAAAATGCAAGATGCTCACGCTGGCTGGTGTGGCTCAGTGGTTAGAGTGTCTTCTGCATACCAGAGGGTCTCGGGTTTGCTTCCAGTCAAGGGCACCTACGGGTTGGTGCAGGAGGCAAACTCAATAAAAAAAAAATATCCTTGGGTGAGGATTAACAAGAAAACAACCTCCCCCCCCAAAAAAAAAAAAAAAAAAAACAACCAAGAGGCTCAGTTAAAGTTGAATTACAGATAAATGATGACTAATTTCCACTATGAGTATGTCCCATGAAGTAATTGGGCATCCTGTATTTTATCCGGCAACCCATCTCTAGCCACTTCCAGGCCTAGATTTGTGATTCATTCCAAGGAGATTTATCTCACATTCTAGAGACCAACATTCATGATCCACAAAAGTAGTCACCGAAAGGGAATCAGCAGATCTCGGTGCCAGCATTGCAAAACCAGGGTCGCTCCGGCCAATGTGTGGTTCCTATGTCTCCCGCAGGCAGTGCTACACCTTAATCACGCTTCACTCTGCAGAGAGCACATTAGTTTACTTTTTCCTTTGCATTGGAAACCTGCCGGCGGGGAGCTGGGTGAGCTGGCAGCCCCTCACTGCCGTGGGCTGGTAGTTTATGGCTTCTATCTTCAAGGCTGCTGTAAAAACAATAACAGACAACTTGGCCAACTGTGTCCTCTCCCCTGGAGATGTTCACGGTTTTCGAGAGGGCTGTGTGGTGTGCAAAGCAGCAGATATCCATCTATCTGCACGCTCAGAGGAGGGGCGGACCCCGGCGGGAGGAAGTGAGTTTTTATCTGTCTGTCACCGGAGAGGATCCTGTCACGGCCATTTGTCTGCAGGGAGATTTTTACGCTGGGTGCAAGAAAGGACCTGTTCTACTTCAGGCTGTTGTGCAAATAATTAACAACCTGATGTTTTGAAGGGAACATAAACAGAGCCTGACTGGATATGAAGGGGAGTTTTTCACGCTCCTGCAAATGTGTGAAAGAGGAAGAACGTTTATGCCTCAGCAGTTCTCTGGACCTGACTGAGCGCCTACCATCTTGCCACGCTGAGGGCCCCCTCCCGTTAAACCTTTATTTTCTAAGTACGGAGCTGTGTATCTTTGTAACCAGTTCAATTGATGAAGGGTGTTGCCTGTGGGATGATATCGCCCTGAAGCGTGCGGCCTCCCAGAGCTGTGGCTTATTAGCACCAGACTCCCCGTAGCTCTGTCCCCTCACCTATATGATGGGGACCGCAATAATGTTGCTCCCTTAGGAGGGTCAAGTGGGATCATTTCCATCATGAACCCACCACAGGGGTTGGAGATATATATATATAAATAAAATAGAGTGTCCTGGTGCATGAAAATTCATGCAATGGAGGAGGGGGGGGTCCCCTCAGTCTAGCCTGCCCCCTCTCACAGTTCAGGAGCCCTCAGCGTCAGGAGGCAACCTGGTAATCAGGGGAAGGCAATGCCCCATCACACCTCTGCTGCTGCCACTGCCAGCAACGCAAGCCTCAACCAGCCTTGCTTACCTGAGCCTCAGGAGGAACAGGGTGGCTGGGCAATCACCATCCAAGGCTTGCCTGTGCCTCAGGCTGGTCCTGGGCAGTGGGGGGGCTGAGGGGACTGGAGGACTCCAGAGGCAGACCCCCGGGCAGGACTGAAGAGACTAAGCACCACCATCTGTGGCTGTGGGCACCTCCATCTTTGCAATGGCATGAGGATCAATTAGCATATTCCCTCTTTATTAGATAGGAGATATATATATATATATATATATATATATATATATATATATATATATTATTGTTCTC